GATGATTTTTTTACTAAAATATATTGAAAATGTATCGTGAAAAATCTTCTAAAATGATAATGAGATACTTTGTTCACTAAATTAAGTACCTAAAAAGTTTAGTATATTAACATTCCCATTTGAAGTTGGTGGTTTTCATCAACATGATCAATTTGAACACTTGAGCTGTAATAAATATCTATACAATTCCGAAGATAATATTTAGTTGAGCTCATTGAACATTCGCCAGACGACCATATACGCTTACGAGAATCACACAACAATATCACAAGAGTTCATAAACCATCATTATGCGAGACCGTATGGTATGTATTGGTATGTGTTCAAATCGAGTTACAAATAATTCAAAAAACAAATTTAATAAATACTTACGGTGTTGTTCCTCTTCCAAATAAAAACAGATGAATGCGGAATATTACATCATTCTCATTATTCTGAGTGTGGCATTGAGCTGAGCAGTAAACACAAAAACAAAACCGGCTGTAGTCGGAGTTGATAACAACAAGACGAGATGCGGAACGCTCGAATGGTGCAATCATAATGGAGGCGGACAGGCGGATGCATCATCTCGAACCATTGAACTGAATATAGTGACCTCGAGCAGAAACGGATGCGCGCGCAACAAATTCATCCCAAATATTGCGCCACAATGCCCTTTCAGTGCTCTTTCAATACCCCGCATTGCCTAACAATGCCTCACAATACCTTGCAATGCCCATCAATACCCTGCAGTGCCTCGCAATGCCTCGCAATGCCCCGCAATGCCCCACAATGCCTCGCATTGCCCCGCAATGCCCCTAAGTTGTACACCGGATTACCCCATGTACTTACCCCTCGGGTTGAACAGCATGGGGATCTCGAAAACGGTAAGAGATACGAAGTCGGTTAAATAGAGAAAAAGTTGCGCATTCGGAGGCTCATATCAAGAGCCTTCGAAAATTTTCAAAATTATTTTCAGTTTTTGAGTTATATCGAAAAAAGTGAATTTTTGAAATATCTATTTTATTTTTGTTCTTCGTTATTATTAGAGATACAGAAGAACTGAAAATACTTTTTTGAAGCAACTTTTGATGACGTTTGACGTGGTGATACCAATTTTTTTATACGACGTTTTATATCCGTAGAACCATCATCAACTTTTGTTTTTTAAATACGGTCCTGATAATTTTTTTACAGATCCTGAAAGGTTTTTTCTTCTAAATTCAACCATGTATTATACAAGGTGATTCGAATGTGTTTCAACCTATTTTTTATCCATCATCAATGTTTTTTCGAACTTCCAAAGGAAAAGTGCCATCAGTTCCACTTATTTCTGATCATTTAGTGTCAAATATTGATGGATTAGTTATTCAATACTGAGAAGTGAATAAAAAATATTTCACTACATCATTCAATGCAGCGCTTAAAATTGTTGATGAATTCTTACACGAATTACTTCAACAACTTTACTTTTACAATACCTACCTACAGAAACATTCATAACAAATGTTCAAAATGATAACTATTATTTTCTGAACAAAGATATCCTGTTCTCACAGTTGCTTCTAAGACATTACTAAGCATTTCTGGGGTTATTTCATTGAATCCTTTGATGACACTGTCCCTTAGTTCTTCTTCATCATCAAACTTATTTGCGTATACAAAGTTTTTGATATATCGCCTAAGAAAAAATCCAGCTGTGTCAAATCAGGCGACCGCGCCGGCCAAGGGACTGTAGAATGAGTACCAATCCATTTTCCTAGATAAAAACGTACGGACTTCTCTGGAATTATGTTCCGGATCTTGTTGAAACCAACAGTTCTGAACTTCCGCAATCGGTTAATCATCCAGAGCTTCACAAGATGATTCTCAAGCGAATTTCTATAACGTTCGGAAGTCTGTGTTTCATGGTAAATAGAAGGAACAATAATTCGTGTACCAAATATTGCAACCCACATATTAAAGCCGAAACGGTGTTGGTGTCTCGCTGTAATGTATAAATGTTCATTTTCTCGTGAACAATAATGTGTATTTTTTCTATCGAAGCTACCATGATTAGTGACCATGCTTTCATCAGTCCAGATGATTGTTCGAAAGAAATCTGCAAAATTTCAACATTTCCTGGTATACCACTCACAGAATGTCTTGCGCCTTTCGTCATCGCCTGGTTTTAGCGCTTGACATATTCTGAATTTGTATGGATGGAATTTTTGTTTCCGCAAAATGAAATGGGTTGTTGATTGAAACCAGTTGATGAGGTATTAGTGTGTTGACTAATTTTCCTTCAAAATAAGTGGAACTGATGGCATTTTTCCTTTGGAGTTTCGAAAAAACATTGATGATGACCAAAAATAGGTCGAAACACAAATGAACCACCTTGTATAATACATGGTTGAATTCAGAATAAAAAAACCTTTTAGAATCTGTGAAAAAATTATCAGAACCGTATTTAAAAAACAAAAGTTGATGATGGTTCCACGAATACGAAACGTCGCATGAAAAAATCGGTATCACCACGTTGACCGTCATCAAAAGTTGCTATGAAAAAGTATTCTCAGTTTTGCTGTATCTCTAATAATAACGGAGAAAAAAAATAAAATAGAAATTCCAAAAATTCACTTTTTTCGATATAACTCAAAAACTAAAAATAATTTTCAAAATGTTCGAAGGCTCTTGATATGAGCCTCCGAATGCGCAACTTTTTCCCCATTTAACCGATTTCGTATCTCTTACCGTTTTCGAGATCCCCATGCTGTTCAACCTTATCTTGGACAGACTATATATTAGCAAAGTTCGTTTACCCTACCCGGTTCCTCTCTACCATTTGTAGGAAGTTTGTGGTTTCAAAAATTATCCGTTTGACTGAAAATGGCTCAGCTAATCTTTTGATCGTTTCTCATTCGAGAGAACACATTTGCCAGGGCGTTAGACGCTAGACAATATTGACATGGTTTAAACTCAGTTCCGGCATAGAAAGAGAGAGAAAGGCATAGAGAGATTGATCTGTTAGTTCATCCAGCGCATCCATATATTATGCATCAAGGTTTGCATGCTATTATTTTGATGGAGAAATTCTCCCGGAGAGAGCCAATTGCCTGAAGTCGAATTGACAGCGAAAAATTGTTAGTCACGTCAGATGGTATCAATCTACTCCCACTTTCGTGAATGTAATGCCATTTTCTTATGACATGTGGAATGGAAAGTGACACTCAATCTATGAAATTGGGATATCAATTTGAACTAGGACTATTTTTATTGTACTTGAATAAAGACATTGTCTTTAGAGACCAGCCCCAGCACATACCCTTGAGTAACATCAATATTCATTATCATTCAAACCATTTAGTGACTCTTTGTACCATATGAGAAAAAATTTATATGATAATTTATTATGAAATTTGACTTGGGCCTCAGGTTTTGCTTTGAAGAAAATGAAATATGGCCGACTCGGTCAGGGTCGATTATTGAGAAAATATGTTTCCATTCCGATTTTACACTACTAACTTTCAGTTACCAATTATCGACAAAAATATGAGCTTCCTAAGAAAGTAAAAATCTCGCTTTAAATTTCTGATATATGTTTGATGCAGAGTTGATGCGTACCGTGTAAAGCATTTAGGAGCGAAAATTATTCAAATCGATTCTTCCAGTACTAAAAAGATGCCAAAGTCATCAATAGATCAAAATGTCATCAAAGTACTCCACGTATCTAATAAAAGTTTAGTTTTGTCGAAGTTGCAATTTTTTCAATATTACAGATATTTCGTAGAAATTGAAGAATACTAAGAACCAAAATTTGCAATAGAACGTTTTAAATTGGGACACATGTGAAAAATAGGAGTTGAAACAACTTTTTCTCCGTGAACGTTTTCAAAATTCGAACTAATGAACCTAATTTCTGCGATTAATTTGACAAAATTCAAATTTTGACATGTTTTCAAAGCAAAAATCAACGCCCAAGTCGAATTTTTGAAGTGAATTGTTATTAAAAGTTTTTCTCACGTGATGCCAACTTTCTGTATCGAGAATTTTCCCTCTAAATTAATTCTAATCGACTGTTTTTTTTTTCGAATTAATTCAATTTGAAAACTATTGGAAGCATGTGAACTACTACCGTGAATGTGATTCCAAAATTTGATCTCGTGGATCAAGAATCCCTTCCAAGGTGAAGTTGGGAAGTAAGCCGATCCCTTAGGAATTCAAAAAGCTCCAATAAGACACAACTCAACAATCCAACATACCCAATTACAACTTCCGAATGAATTTGCGTAGAAATGGAATATTTGAGGAAGTTCCGAGGATTTCCATCGTCTTTATACGAATCCAGAACTACTAGGATCACGTTTTAATAAACAACGACCAGGATTTTGTTTTGATACTTTCGTTCTGCTTACATCACGCGATGAGCTTTCGGTATAATTCTTGATGGGAATTTCTGAAATTTCCCAGAATCATGTTTAATTCACATAATGGATTATAATAATGCAGGAAGACTTTGCATCAGATGAGCATCAATTTTTTTGTGCTAATAATCTTATCGATCAACTTTTTTTTTTCAACAAGTTGCCCCACTTTTCTACAGCACACAGGAAATGGTTTATATCATGATATCTGATTGTGATATATTCTGCGATAAATTAATAATCTTTGAAATAAGATCTATAATAATGATTCACAACATCCAAATAACACATTGGTTACAGAATTTTCTCTTTGAAAATAGAGAGAATCATTACAGAAAACAACTACCTACTTTTCAGGTTAATACCACGAAAGATAATATATTTGATTCTAAGAAAATATATTCTATAACATTAACTAAAAAATGGCTATCCGTTTATCATTATCTAGAATCAATTAGAATTGAATCAATGAAAAAATGTTTGATGGAAATATTATCCTAATCAGGATCTTTAGGATGATCGATTTTTTTTCTCGAATTGAATGATAAATTATGTTTCGCCACCAAAATTCTAAATGTTCCGTCACCAAAGGAAGCAAATTCAAATGACGTTTCTCACCTTTGATAGCCGGATCGGGATGGTGGTGACAGTTTGACATTTGACAGCCTCTGCGCTGCTCCAAGCTGGGACAATGTCGGCCACCGTTTTGTGGCTGCAGCTGCACAGACCTGGTGCGAGACATCGTGCCAGGACCGCAATCGGCATCGCAGGATGTCCAGGGGCCCCAAGGGCTCACTTGACAGTCCAAAACTGAAAAAAAATTGGGATAAGAAATATGAGAAACGTCACTGTAAACAGGGTTGGTGAATACCACTTGAAATTATGTTCCTATAATTAATGCTTTCAGGGATTTAGGTTGATAGTTCTCGTTACTTCAAAGGATGATTCATTGCTTTATGACAATCAAAAAAGTTTATTGCAACATAGGTCGTAACACTCACCGTTCTCGAAAAATTCAAGATTGAAATACAAAATCCATGCACTGAAAACGTTAATAAAAACCTTACAAATGAATATTTTCTGAAAGCAAAATCAGCAAATATTGATAAGTACGAAACTATGTGATGTTTTTTCTTTCACGCTGGAATTACTCAGTTCTTCATTTGTATCTTGGTACGAACAGCGTAGTGATATCGGTATTGAATTGTTTAGATTTGTGTGATTATTAAGTGAATTGAGGATGTCTGTATTTCTGTTGGCAAGTTCGTTCAGTTTTTTTTTTTTTTCGACATTCCCAAATTATTTTACTAATAACAATAGATCTCAGCGCATCAATGACTGCATGACTATCGTACATGATAATGATATCTCGTCTATCATATAGTTTTTTCTAAATTCAACTGTACACATTCCCCTATAGCTTGAAGTTCCGCCTGGAATGTGCTTGGAATTAGCCAAGGTTTTCGACGTACGTGATACGAGGCCCGTAGACTCCTATTCCAGTTACAACTTCGGTTTTGTAGCCATCTGTGGCTCTTTCTATGAGCTCAATAACCACCACTGTTCTATTCTTCCTTACAGCTCAGCCTTGTGGCGAATTGTCTGAAACAGCTGTACTCTTTCTTCATCTCATCCTGAGGGAAATCCTGGATTTGCTGGTTGTGTAAGGAGATTGTCTGCCTTCGATCACTCCTTCTCTAATCATTATGTATGTCGTTCTCTTTGCCGCGTTCTCCACAACTGAATGTATCCATATAATAGGTTATAGGACAAAGAAATTTCCATCAAAGCGTAAAGATCACTTCATATCAGCTCAAAATTGGTATGGATATGTCTATAGAATTCAAACGAATCAGGCAGGAATGACCAAGCAATCCTCTCCTGGGTGCCAGGGATTTCTGACTAGAAGAATATTTATCTTAAGCTTTCTCATCAAAAAACTTGTACTTCTGATAGAAGAGATTATGTCGTTCATCCATCACAAAGGGCGTTGAAAAAACTACTAGTTTGCTAATTCAAACAATGTTTCATATTTCAATAAAAACATTTACCAATAGTGGGCCATTGATTTGGATAACCCTGTATACCATGGCCAATATAATCTTGCTGAGAAGTCCAGAAGCGAATATCGCCGACGTCACCGAACACAGTTGATACATCATGCAATATCGAAACTATCTGGGATCTCATATCGCAGCCATTTATTCCAGGAAAAACATCCGACATACGATTTTTATTGTAAAAGAAGGGAGAGGCGCCCTGCCGTGAACACGGGCGACACGTAAGCCTTTTTTCCTCCGATGAACCGATACAAGGGAAACTCGCGTAGGGTTTATTGAGTTAATACTGTCGTAGACAGAAACACCAGAGGCGTATCAACATGCGATCATTTTGACGATTAGTAGATGAACAATGAGGATTCTCGAACATTATTCAGGTGGGGGTAAGCAGGGTGGGATGAAAGACACTCCACACTCGACATGCGATGATTCTGAATTTTGACGATCAGTAGATGAACAATGAGGATTCCAAAACGTTAAACAGGTGATGGTAAGCAGGGTAAGGGCTGGAGAAGGGCGTGTTCAGAGTGGTGATTGGACGGTCTGATTCTTGGAGTGAGATCTACTTTGAGTGAGTAATGGAGAATGAAATAGTCAAACAGAAGGAACAAATCTCTCAAGGAAACATCACTGCCTGATGATAAATGTTACATATTTGAATGCCTTCGAGATTGATTCATTGAAATGGGAGGATGACATTTGATTTCGAGTTGAATGGATGATGACACTATGGTATAATTCAGCTATATTAATTTCTCAGAACCCATGATCGGAAACTACACGTTATTATATTGTTGGTGCATCGAATAATACCATTGAATCATCGAATTATGTCTACAGAAAATTCGAAGGGTGTTCGAAAATATGTTTCCTGCGAAAATGAAAAGAATGTTCTGAATAATAATTCTTCACAACCGTAGGCAAATCAATCATTGTATTGGAATATTGTATTTGTATTTTATCTGAGATACTTCAGTTTATTCATGAAGAACAGTATGAAAGAAAGCTCTCTGTTTCGAGCATCAAACATAATCAACTACGAGGATGGATCACATCATCAAATTACCACACAAAATCTTGTAAACTACAGCATATTATAGTTATCGATCATCAATTCTTCATATGTACTGAATATTTCATCGATGATGTCAAAATAGCGTATACCACATCAATCCTTTGTCACTACATAACAGGTAACTATTCATCTTCCTATCCCACAATAATTAATTCTCCGAAGTTTAGGCTTCCATGATCGTCAAGCCTCCCTTTCAAACAAAGCTCGATCCAGAATTAGAAGTGAAAGTCAAAGGAAATAATGATATGTTAATCTGAATAATTCAAAACTGGTAGTTGTAACTTCTCATGGTTACGGTTATCCACAGCAACTCACGAGTAGAGTGCCTTGATGGATCTGGCTTTTCTGTTATACAGGGTGATTAATATCCCTACCGAGTGGAGTAAACATATTGTTGAAACAGAGAAGAAACGTACAAAAATGAAATAAATGAAATAACATTTTTATCATCACTCGAGAAGTTGCGACCACATCACACTTGGGACCTTGCTCAGTACTGATGTGACTACTTGGTTCCACTTAGTTATGGAAACAGCAAAACTATATTCATTCTTTGCAGAACAGACTACAAAACAACACGGCACAGCACAACAGAAATGAGAAAAATACATGTTTTTTCGAATGTCGAACCTCTATAGTCAATGAACTGTTTCAAGTTGATTGCTGCACGATGAATGAATATCATATCAAAATATTTCTACGAATGGAATGCAGATATATAACGGTTCAGAAAAATCCCGATTAAATCGTGAAATATTGAAATCAACAAACAAACAAAAACTTTGATCTCATATAATTGCCAGGTTTAATTATTGTTTGGTCAGATGACTTATTTTTTTTTATGCTTCTGTAGATCTATTGGTCGTGAGTATTCTCACTCAGAGAGAGCAAATGAAATTTAAGTGTGGTGAAGATCTGATTCCATATCATCTTATTGTAGATTCTGATGCAGTTGGATGAGAATATAGTTTTTGACTGACAAGGAACAGTAATCAATAATTATGTGAGTTGTTTTTCGTTTCAAAGGAGAACCAACGGAAAATAATTTTCTACACATCATTGTAATAAGGTAAATCAATAGAGGCAACTCTAAAACATTCATTCTGGTTTTTCACATTCATTCCGGCATGCACTTCATTTACTAAAATTTCAAAGTTCCGTTGTTTCCGTACAACAATATTTTCTGTTCGGTTCGCTGAAATATATATACAGTAAGTATATTCCACGGTCCCATTCGTATTCAGAAAGGAGCAGAACAACAACACGAAACACAACCAGTCGTGCATTCTTGGCGTTTTCGGAAGCATCGGAATATACCAGAATAATTTTATGAAATATACTCACAGAAATCCTCCAGTGGCGGCTAGTTATTTTGCCTACGCACAAAGAAATCTGCGGAATTTTTTGCTCCAAAAATAATTTTTCGAAAATCCTCGTTCTCAAAAATTACTTTTTTCTACAAACTACTCTCCAAAAAGATTCCTTTTCGATATCATTCATTTCGAGAGGCTGTTTCCTCAAAAACGTTCATTTCTTTATTTCGAAAATCTGTTTTTTTTTTCTCAACAATCTACGTACCTAGCTCACCCATCTAACCGAACTAACAACATTATTTACATTATTTTCAGCAATCACAGTTGACCAATAACGCCGATGAATCATGGCATAGGGGCTTCTCATCTCTTATTAACGCTCAAAAATCGTCTCTCTGTAATTTTCTGGATAGAATTAAGAAAAAACAATGCTTCCTGGAAGTCAAAATTGCGAATTCCCCCCCTCCCCGGAAAAAAGAGTAAATCTTGGATCCAGAGACTCCGCAATATGATTATGTTCATCATTATTCGATGTAACATGTAATGAAGATGATTTGATTACGTCTTTGCAACATATCGCCAATGTTTTGTAATGCTACTTATAATGTTTTCTTGAATTGCGAAAACCTATTGTCAGAAAGACATGCGTTTCAAAGTGTTGTTTTCCGAAAATTATTTGCTGAAAATAAGAAATTTTTAAAACTTTTTTTTTTCGAAAAAAAAAATCCGAAAAAATTTCCGTTTGATTTTTTTCAGCAAAAAATAGTCAGAGCAGTCGTCTACTCACGACTTGTCCAGGCGGTCAAGCACCCATAAGCAATACACACAGTAAATACTATAAAACGTTATATGAAGAGTTGGAAATCGACCCCATCATGGGGATGCCAAATCATACCTTTGAAAATACTTTCAAAATTAGTATAACTGAGGAAGAATCAAGCCAACGACAAGAATCTCATTGAGCATAGGTGAATACTCGACGGTGTTTCAGGCAGAAAATGTCGCAATACATCATTGCGTAAAAGAATTGATGAGGCAGAGTTTGAAGGGAAAACCATTGCCTGTGGAAGTATTCCCAACAACATATTATCTCCAAAAGTTCAAAAAAAATTCCAATACCTACCTCCTGTCCCTATCCTCCCTAGGAACGCACGATGTTCTTTGAACATTATAGGGATTCCCTTCGGTGCGCTCCAAGCGATAAAAAAAATCTACTCGGATAGCCAGGCGGCAATCAAACCAGTGAACTCAATGCAAGTTAACTCAAAACTAGTATGGGACTGCTCAGAAACTCTGAATGAACTGTTCAGTCAGAACAGACTGACACGAGGATGGTTAGAGGCAGACTCACTTGCCCAAGCA